GCAATAAGAACTTGCAATGTAATTCTGCTATGCAACCAGCATTCATCTCAATAGCTTTTATTGCTTATGGGGCTTCAGCGGAGGCAAGATACTTCTAGGATTGGGATCTTCCCTCAGTAACCCCATGGCTCCTGTGAGTGACATTTTCTAACAACACAGTGTGCCTGTTTGCGGATTCTTCAGTTACTTTCTTTACTGTTATCCTCAGCTGTTCCAAATTTGTAGAACACTCAAAAGTTAGCATTATATAAATAATGAAATTATTTATAGAGTGTGGGCAAGGTTTCAGATTGACCACTGTCATTTTAAACAAATGTCAATGGGTTTGGGGATTTGGAAGGAAGAAGGTAAAAATGAAATTCTAAATCCAATGAAGCATCACTTATGCTAACTGTTTTATCAGGAGAACAATGTTAGACACAGTGGTGTAGATGAGGACACCATTCCATCTAGGCCTCCTTGAATCACAGTCACTTTCTACTAATAACCCCACAGCCATATCATAAGAATCATGCTGGGGCACAACTCTGTGGCTATGGTGTTTCTTTCGAGCCATGACGGTCATGGCAGGGCTGACTCATGCTGCTTGGCGTACTTCAAGATTAAGGGGGTATTTCACCATGGCTGTAAACTGTCCGTCAACTACATATGGCAGCTAAAACGTTCCTTTAAAACATCCATCTTAAGTTTTTCTACATGGGGACTCCAGTTCAATAGAAATATTGTCACATTTACTTTTGAGTAACTTTTTATATCTTTACATTTTTTTTTCATCTATTCCTGAGTGCTTTGGTGTCTTAAAAACTGAGTTTATATACCAGTCTAAATCTTCCAGATATGCTAGAGACTTTACATAAAATTCGGTCCCCATCATGGTATTTAGCAAAGTCAATGAAGCACCATGTGAGGCTCAAGGGCCCTGATGAATTAATTTCTTTTTTTTCTCCTAAGACCACATTCCTATCAGGTCCAGTGAACTGGGCATCAAACACCCCCCTATCAAATACACATTTTTCTCACTAATGTTTTCTTTTTGCCTGTTATCATCCAGTTCCTACTACTCCTGGTGACCTAAGCTGGCAATAGCTAACTGCCCCTAATGGCTTTTATGAGCCAGTGTGTCAGGGACTAATTTCCCCCATACTGCCTTTGGTTATTCAGCCTTTGTCTCAGAGAGGCATGTGTACTTAGTTGAATTATTCAGTTTCTCTTCTCCATGGCACTCAGACAGATCCCATCTGCAACTATGTCCACAACCACATGAGCCAAACTTTAAAAGCATTTATTTCTTGTTCAAGTGCCTTTCACAGTCCAAATAATTACCACGGCTTTCTAAGCTAATTTGTACTTTTTACCCTTACATATAGCTGACTGTAGGAAACAGCAAGCCAACATTTCCAACTCATTCTCTGTTTTCTCTGTTCCTCCTTATGAGTAGAGACTAGTGCAGAAACAGTATCTCCATGTGGGTTTCCCGTGTGCACGTCTTTCCTTGTGTATACAAGTTCTGTCAATGCGGAACCTAAGTTACAGACGTCTTCTATCACCCAGAGAATGGTTGTGTGATTGCCAAAATAACCTACTGATAAATCCCTTCTCATATATGGTATCTCCAAGGGATTACAATATGTTTTCTAGCTCCTAGGTCATTTTGAGGATGTCGCTGTCACCCAATGAAAACCACAATACCACATAGAACAAGATAGCCATCATGGGATCTGCCCTTCCCAAGGTGCTCTACTTTCAGGTAGCTCAGTATATGCCAGTTGGATGCAATACCATGGCAAGGGGCATACACAGGTCACTACAGCAAGAACATATACACAAGGGGAAAGGTAGTCTGTTGAACTGAGATAGGGCACCAATGATAGGCTTAAAAACTGTAGCACAGAGGTACAGCTTGGTGAACTAGTGTGTTTACTGGGGGTGGTGATATAGTATTTATGATCTAACAATGCTTGCCTGGAGATCAGAATGCAAAGCTAGCCACAGCCATAGAGGCCAGGCAATGGTGGCATGCAACTTAAACCCCCGAATTCAGGAAATAGAGACAGATGGATCTCTATGAGTGCAAGGCCACCCAGGGTTACATGAGAGTGAATCAGTCTAAAAGGGAAACAGAGCTCATACTTTTAATCCCAGCACTAGAGAGGTGTGTAAGACAGGAGCAGTGTCTTAGACCTGGCATTCAATCTCAGGGCAAATAGTCTCCAGCCACGTTGAGGACAGGCTCTCCCCAGCCTTGGTAGAGGTGAGAACTCTCTGGCAGCTTGGCTCTATTGCTTCTCTGATCTTCAGCTTGAACCCCAATATCTGTCTCTGGGTTTATATTATTTGTGCTGCATCTGGGCTTACCTACAAGAATGTGGGTGAGCGGTTATTTGGTTATTTTGAGGATCATCAAAGGCAGCTGTATTACTAAAAAGCCCACTCCATTGTGATTAAAACTCAAGAAAGTTATATTCCTGGAACTCTACCAAAACGGCAGGTGCCTCCCTGAAAGAACTTGGCTTCCTGCAGCAATTTTCTATTGTGTACATGACCTTGTGCAGAGACATTTAAGAATTGTAGCCTTTTGACTGGAGGGATGGCTCAGAGGTTAAGAGCACTGGCTGCTCTTCCAGAGGTCCTGAGTTCAGTTCCCAGCAACCACATGGTGGCTTACAACCCTCTGTAACAAGATCTGGTGCCCTCTTCTGGCATGCAGGCAGAACACTGTATACTTAATAATAAATAAAATAGAAAAAAAAGAATTATAGCCTTCTCAATATCCCGAGTCTTATAAGTCTTTGAACTTCTTCAGTCTTGTAGGTTTCATTGTCATCCTGTGTTTTATAATAGTTCCTCTTCCACCACGGAGTGAATATTTCAGTATAATTGAAGCAGGCAACACACACTTATATAGATACACACACACACACACACACACACACACACAGAGAGAGAGAGAGAGAGAGAGAGAGAGAGATGCTTACCATTGTATGCACTTGTATTAGTGCCCATAGGCCTGCAGTGTGTTTTTATATGTGTTCCTATAAAGGCTAAATCATGCTTATTTTTACATTTGCTAAGTGTAACCTTGCTATATATCAAATATAATTTGGAATATTATGCATTAATGATTTTGAGGAAAAAATGAAGCTTCATTACTGTCTATACATTGTTCATAGGCTATTGAGTTCCTTCAAAACACTAATTATCTTGAACATGTGTTAGACTGTTGTGGAACATTTCAGGATGCTTCTAGAGGACACATGGATGTGCTATGGTAGGGTTTTCTGAAACACCTTCTGGAATACAGTGGATTGCTCAGATCCCTGTAGTGGATTCTAAAATGATACACACACACACAGACACACACACACACACACACACACACACACACACACACTTACTTCTTTTAGTTGCTGTTACTGTAGCATTTCATGAGACTCTATAGAGGAACCAAACCCTCACACAATGTTTTCTACTGAGCCAGCAGTAATCATATTATGTAAATGGCATATTTTCTCTTTGTAGATGAGAATTAATAAAGAATAAAGAAATTGTCTTCTTAATTATTACACAAATTGATTTCATGACAATTTACAGTTTTATTTTTGCTTAAAGCTTCCTGTCTTGATTTTACTGTGTTCCAGAAAGATTTTATTTTATTTTCCATGCTACAATTATCTTCATATAGAAATAATGGAGCTCTGGGTAAATCAGAGTTATTATTATTAGTAATCTCAATTGTCTGAGGTGTTTGCGGCCTGTCAATTCCATATAAAGAAGTTTAAAAAATAAAATTCCAGACAGTAATTATTGACTGGCTACTGAAAAGAAATCTTATGTTTCCCTGATTTGCCTCCAAACAATTCTTAAAACCTTAGTATAGCTCAGTGGTTGGAACTCAGAGCTATTCTGTACAAATAGGAATTTCACAAGGTTTATCTACTAGCATCAAATTGCATAATGTGGATAATTGTTCAATGTACTAGAATGATGTACCTGAGTTGAGAACCTATAATGTATTAGCTTATTCCTAAGACCTAATTTAGGAGAATGACAGTCTTCCTTATATAATTTTCACTTATTCTTTTCTCGTACAATATACCCTAATTAGAGCTACCCCTCCCTCCACACTCCCCTCCTCCCATCCCCACCCCATCTCCTTCAGAAAAGAGCAGACCTCCCAGGGATATCAACCAAACATAGCACAAGTTACAATATGACTAGGCACAAACCCTCACATGAAGCCTGGGCAATGTAACACACAATAGGAGGAAAAGGATCCCAGAGGAGGCAAAGGAATTAGAAACATGTCCACTTACTGTCAGATGTCCTTCCCAAACATCAATAAAACAGCTATAACATATTTGCAGAAGACATAAGGTACACCCATGCAACTCCATGATTGCAGCTTCAATCTCTGTGAGCCCCACACCCCATGAGCTATGCTTGGTTGATTCTGCATGCTGTACTCTCCCAGTATCCTCAACCCCTCTGGCTCCTACAATTCCTCTTCCTCTTCTGATAGTTTTAAGATTGAGGATAATAAGTTATACTTAAAATCATGGCTTTAATTCATCAAGATAAGAAGGTCTATGTTCCAATTAACTTTGTGGGGAAACAACCAATATATCTTGAAATCGTTTTCTTCAAAAATAATTCAGTAAAAAGTTTCAACAGATCTTTAATTAAAAAGTGTCTCCGTGTAGATCACTTTCTGGCAAATGAAGATTTACCTTTGCTAAAACATATGAATAGAAGAGTGTAAGGAAAATGTCCAAGTATAGTTAGTTTTTCAAAAGATATATATAATATCAAGCAATTTAATATGGCATTTGAAAAAATATTCTCCAGAAAGGAGTTAAGCCAAATGGAATAAACTAAATTTCACATCCCCCCCAGGAAGTTTTATGTGTCAACTCAACACTCATTTAAGATGCAAATTTCACAGTCACTTCATGTAGTATATGATATTGACTCACCTTTAAGACTTAACATATTCATTTATTTTTTCTATGGAACACTTCACAAATTTGCATGTCATCCTTGTTCTGGGGCCATGATAATCTCTGTATCGTTCCAATTTGAATGTATGTGTTGTCGAGGCATTCACAAGACTAGTTGAGTTGTTTTTAATTGTAGACATAGAACTAGACATGCATTCACTGAACAGAATCCAAAAGTCAGTGATATGTTAATTGTTGTTAGCCAATGGATTGTGTTCAATTGCAAGCAAAACAAAACAAAAGTATTACTAAGCAAAGCCTTTTATTGCTGTCACTAAAAACACAAAATAATTGATTCAGACCTTGTGATGCTCACCTGCCATACATTTCAGCAGTCAGAATCCGAGGCAGGAGAGTTGCAAATTCTAGCTCAGCCTTAACTCAGAGCAAGACAATGACCCCACAATTTAAAAGGTAAACAGAGTTTTAACCAGCAAGCAAATGAGGTTGGAGAGTAAATAATAATTGCATAGGTAGCTGGAGAGATGGCTTAGCAATACTGGATTCTTTTCTAGAGGACCTGGGTTCAATCCCAGCACCTACATGGTGGCTCACAACTGTTTGTAATGCCAATCTTAGGGTATCTAATGACCTTGTCTGGCTTCTGTGGGTGCTGGGTGTATATGTATGTAAAGAATAAATGAACACAAAGCACCCATACATAAGAAATCTTTTAAAAATCATATAAATAAATAAATTAGCATGATTTGCATCTGCCACATAAAACAAATGCTGGAAATAATACTATTTAAATGCTAAGAAGTATTTCTGGAGAAGGAAGCATTTGATCATTTATGCTGGATTTTAAAGGTTTGCTTTTTTTTTAATATACCACTAAAGATGAAAGGAAATATTAGCAAGCAGATGGCTGCATTAATTACATCTTTTTTTAAAAATCAAAGATGATAAAGAGATGCCAGGCTATCTTTAAGAATATTTATTTCTTTATTTATAAAAATATTTACTTCTTTATTTATAACTCCGGCTTTAGAGGATCAATGCCCTCTTCTGGCCTATATAGGCATCTGCATGCATATAGTGCACAGACATACCCTGTGGATACAGCTCTGGTATGAAGGATGTTATAGCAGAAAATAGAGTTACATCTATTGGAAAAGACTGAAAACATGATTAATATCAGTTAAGATAAAAGAGTCTTGACTGCAGTCGATGCATGGCATAATGAAGAATTGAATTTAGTAATAGTATGAATAAAAACTAAACATGGGTATGAATTTCAGATTCTCCCTGAGGCTAGGGTGATTGGATTCTATAACTGATAGTATTGTGGGAGAGACGAGGGGATGGACTGAGATTTTATTTATTGAAGAACATTTGAAACTATTTCTCAAATACTGTTATTTAGAAAAGGGCAATCCCCAAATGGCAACCAAAAATGAGGTCTTGGATTTTAGTACAGAAGTCAAATCAATAAACATAGATGGTGATCAAATGCAGTCAAACATTATTCAGTGGTTGAATCTGTGTACATGTTTTCACTGATCAAGACAGCAGGAGGATACAAAAAGAAGGGAAAGTGAGATGATTCCTTCTCTGAAAATAATCAGGGCAGGTATCAGAGGATGGATGCTTAGAGGGTACAAAATTCCCCAAATAAGAAAACAGTCAGTGTCAAATAATTGACAGGAGAAAGAACATTTTGAAATAATAATACATCTATTGATATCTAACTTCTAATAAAGTTTAGAGTGTTTCAACATTTTAAAGTATGTAATTATTGATGGCATTATATGAACATCCTAAGGAAAAGTACAGACACAGGGAATGAGGCTTAAATTTCCATGCCCTGGGTGGCATCAGTGTAGATTGTTTTTAACTCTTTGGGGACCCACCATCCAGATCCAAAATAAATACAGGGAAATTTATTCTTTCTTATGAATATCTGGCCTTAGCTTGACTTGTTTCTAGCCAGCTTTTGTAACTTAAATTATCCCATTTCTCTTTAACTATATTTGCCCTCTGAGCTTTTTGCCTTTCTTTAGTCCATATGTCTTTCTTTCCTTCTTATGTTGTGGCTAGCTGGTTGGCTAATGCATGGAACCCTCCCCTCCTCCTCTTTTTCTCATTCCTCCGTTCCCTCCTCTCTTCTAGATTTCTCCTCCCATTTATTATCTCTGCACGTCAGCCCTGCCTATTTCCCACTTCTGCCTAGCTCTTGGCTGTTCAGCTCTTTATTAGACCAATCAGGTATTTTAGACAGGCCGAGTAACACAGCTAGCGTTACCGAGTTAAACAAATGCAACATAAAAGAATGCAATGCATTTTTTGTATCATTAAAAAGTATTTCATAGTATAAGCAATTGTAACACATCTTAAACTAACATTTCACAACATTTCAGTGGTCATATCCTTAAGATTTGATTTAGTTGTCCACAAGTATTTACTTTGCACAGATATATGCTGCTGCACCCACGTACTGCTGTCTCACAACTGTTCTCAGGAATTATTCAATGTTGGCAATATCAGACAAACAGGGAATGGTTTTTTAGCTGATAATATCTTCAAATACTGTATGTAGAATTTTTGGCTGTAAAGAATTTCAAGTTTTCTTCCTAAAATACAAGATTCTTGAAAATACCATGTCTTGGTCTTCAGATGAGTAGCAACAGCATTTCAGTCATATTCTGTAGCTGTGTGCAAGGCCTGGCTTCTCCTTCAAAACTTATTTTCCTCCTCTCACTGCTTACCTTTGTGTTTCACACATTCCCATCACTTGCTGAACCTCCTTTCTTAAAAACATGACACATGTTGACACCAAGCCCTCAAAATAGAGAAATTTGCATCTATTTTTTTATTTTTATTACTGACGTCAGTTCAGTTAGCTAGACTAGGTGTTAAATGTGTAAGGTTCTCCCCCACCTTCTAGCCTTCCACAAGTCTTGCTAGACACCAGGAATAAAAGAGTTCCTTTTCCTTGAGTCAGAAAGAAAAAAAAATCAGATACGAGTTTCTTTATATAGTACCGTCGTCATACAGCTCCTCCTAAGAAAATAGTTGAAGTCTTTTGACAACTCTCCGAATGATATGCAATGCTATGAGGTCTTTGATTGTTTCTTTTTTGTTAAATAAGAATTATCACATAATATTGACGAATCCACTTATTCCAAATATTTCGGAGTAGAAACTGTGGGTAGGATAATGCAAAAAGTTATTTCAACTTTTTCTGGGCACAAGTAATGCAAATAACTAGCGGCTTATGGATGGGCTCTTGTGCACTTAGATAAGATCCCCAATTTAAAGTGTGTCTCAGTCCCAGTACAGTAGGTTGGTAATGAGTCACAGATTTAATTCACTCTATATTGTCTCAGTCTCTCATTAACTACATGTCATGTTCTGCTTTCCATTCTAAGGCTTTGTCAGTGAATGAATTTGACAAAAACTCTTGCTCTTGTGGGATTGTGAAATTTCTGTTTCATATTAATGAGACACATGTCAAACAAATATCACCCAATATGCTCAATGGTTGTAATTCCTATGAAGAGAAATAAAGCAATCTGCCAGGTTTAGAAATACAGAGTGAAGACAGGGATCCCATTTCGTGAAGGCCAGGAAAGGCCTCTGACCAGTAATGTCTGAAACGGCAGAAAGACCTTGAGAACCTGAACTGCCATGGCATGTATAGACTGAACACTCTAAACAGAACAAAAGCAGTGTGTAAAGGCCATAGTGCACACAAATTCTTTACACTGGAGTAATGGGAAACTCCAGGAAGGTTGAGGTGCCTGAAGTGTGGCCATGAAAGAAAGACTGTCAAAGTGACAAGAAAGGAAATTTGGAAGGCATTTGGCGCAAGACTTGGAAATAAGACAGAAAGGGAAAAAAAGCTGCAGATTTGCGCATAAAAATGGTATAATCTGATCTGTCTTTTAGTAGATTACTGTAACTACAAAATGGAAAATAATAAGCTGCATGGGATGTGAGTGATGTACCTGAGAACAGGGAGAAGATGCAGGGGCTTGTGATAGGTGACATTAGAAATGATAAGAAGTTATAACAGTTGGTCTTGCAGATTTTATTAACAGTTTAGATGGGTTGTGAATGAAAGAGGAAGTTTTCTCCTGGGCAGGGTGCTGTATCCAAGGTCATAGTTATTGTGGACGCTGATGCAGGAAGATCTCATGAGACTTGGTATCCAAGATTATCTCAGAAAAAACAAGAGACACAAAATAAGCATTTATATCCTTTAGCATGTCTAGAACAGTTTAAGTTAGAAATCTATCATGTGACTGTTCAAGTGTCTCTAAAGGTCAGAGTCCTGTGTGTGTGTGTGTGTGTGTGTGTGTGTGTGTGTGTTTGTGTGTGTGTTTGTGTGTGTGTTTGTGTGTGTGCGTGTGTGTGTGTTCAGTTTCCTCATTTACATATCAGTCCTTACTCCTACTGTCTATGTCAATTTCACGGAGGTGTTCGTGGGAAAACTGATCAATATTATCCATGAAAACATTACCATCTTATCATCATTCCATCATCTGAATCCTTGGGCAAAGGACAGAATGAAAATAGTTATTAAAATGATTTTATAAAAGTGTGCTTCATATTAAGCTGTCAGTTAAAAAATGAAATAAGCCATTTTTCCCTGTTTCAGGTTTAAATGAGGCATGTTTTGCCCGAAAGTACTGGCATATCTTATGGATACATAATAGAAGAACTCCTAAAAATCGGCCATGCCCAACTATGAGCTAGTCCACTGTATTTTGTTTAAGGAAAATCTTTTAAAAATTAGAAATATATATAAGTGGTGTGCTGTGTGATTGAAGGAAATTTTTGAAAGTATTTTATCTCTACAGTTTAAAAATATTATTTGCAACAGAACTATTTTCAGTTAGAATCCTAGACCTTAATTTAGAAACATTAATACAGTTAACATGTTGCAATATCAGCAGGCTTCTAATCTCTTCTAAGTAAATCAGGATGAAAAGTAGTTACATGAACATCCAGGTTTATCTAACCTGTCTTAGGTACTTACATTCAAGAACACAATTATTTATCAAGTCATTATACAATAATACTTTTATCACTAAAGATCTCGAAAGTATCCTAATAGGCATTCTCTCTTATCTTAAATAGCCCAAATCTCCCATGCTTTTTA